AGATCATAATCGGAATCGGAGAGTCGGAGTGGCATGTCAGAGATCGAAATCGCGTGTCGGAGATCAAAATCGGAAAGTCGGAGGGAGATCCAGAATAAAGTCGAGATCCGGATTTTTTCATAATATATTCTGGAATTTGAAATTCAAATCTGAATCCAAGGTCCGGAATACGTACGGATACTTTGGAATGATCATTCTGGAGGAAACATAATGGGTCGGCCCATCAGAAAAAGAATTCGAAATTGTTTCTGGAACGGTCTATTCCGAAGAAAATGATTATTTTATAGAATTTAATTTAAATGGATTATTTTTTTAAAAAAACCACACACAAAAATGGTTTGTTACTCAACTTTCCTATTTTTATTTTTAAAGATATAACGTCTAACCTTAAACATCACTTGCCTTGAATACCTACAACGTATCTTAATAATAGAAAACTTGTTGATTACAATATTACATCATGTTTCTAATATTTATGAATACACGAAAAGCCGAAAAGGTAAAATAGAATTAAATTTACGATAGAAACTAAAATTTATATAGAACAATCCAAAATATAAACATCCAACCTAATAATAAATAATAAATAAATAAATAAATTTTACCTAATAAATGAAAATAATTTTGCCACTTGTCAATCTCTCATGAGTTTTGATACTTGTCATTTTATGATATTTTTGAAATAAATAATATCCACATGTCAATTTTTAGATTTTTTAATTTTTTAAAATTAAAAAACCACATAATTCTTATATATATATATATATATATATATATATATATATATATATATATATATATATATATATAGAGAGAGAGAGAGAGAGAGAGCAAAGATCATTTGAGAACTTACATTTTCCCGAGAACCTGAGAACTAAAAGTGGACCGTCAGATTAAAAAAGTTAAGAGCTAAGATCTTTGATGGCAGTTTTGTAAATAAATAGGAAAAAAAACAAGGAAGGGTATCTTAATAAAATAAGATAAGGGCATTTAAGGGATCAGGTAATTCTTTTTTTTTAACCGAAAAGGATCTGGTAATTAGCTCCATCGACTCCTCCCTAACTCCATCGAGCACCTCCCTCCGCCCTCCACCTCCAACGCCTACCCCTTCCATCAATCATCTCCGCCCTCCCTCAATCGACCACCTCTACCTCCGTCAACGATCAACAACGACTACCAATCAACAATCCTTAATTCGGAAGCAAGCAGATGATCACAAGTCACTCTCATTAACCTAAACGTGTTCGTCTTCTCTCTCGCCTAACAGCTGACGCTCCTCTACATCGTTCCTTTCCAAATTCGCAGCTCCATCCGTCGCCTCCTACATCTCCAGTCGTTCCATCCCTCCCACGCCTCCGACACCACCATCGCACAGCAGAACTCCGACTCATCTTTAGGTATCTAGTCCGTTCTTCAGTTTTCCTGCTTTATCTTTATTTTTGTTGAAATCAATGCTCCAAATCTGATGAAATTGGCGATTTCTCGTAAATAGGTAATGAAATCGTTGATATGAAATTGTTTGTTGATTTCTTAAAATCGTGATGTTCTGATGAAATTGTGTGCTGATTTCTCCACATTGTATGTTTTGATTTGAGTATAGTTGTCAGTTACTTTAGCTTTACTTTGATTTCTTTGTATTATTCACAATATAATGTTCTAATAAGAAAAAATATTGAAAGACCCTAACTTCCGTACTAAAGACATTGTCACTCCAAAACATGCTACATGCATATTTATAAATAATATTTTACATTGATAGCGTGATTACAAAAGACTGGATACAAACCGACTAAGTTTTAGTATATTACATAACTACCCAGGATATTATAATTTTTATACAAACATAAACCCAAATACAAAAGTAATAGTATAAACTATTCTAAATCTTCCAACAGTATATGACTATAATGGATTCTCATTACTTGCAATTGTTAAACACTGAGAGCGGTAAGCAGTGACGCTTAGTGAGTTCAATAATAGATACAATATAACGTTATGCCATATACATATCAATATGACAGAAGCAAAGAGGTACAAAGAACAACAAAGGCAGATGAGTATCATATGACATGCTTTCCATATCAACGAATAATCTGATTCAAAGATATACAATCAATAAAACTTTTGCCCATATGGCATGGAAAAATAACCAATTTCTTAATAAACATTTTGGCTAGCAAATTATAGGCTTTCAGCCCTGCCTAGCCTTCTGCCAATGCCATAATGGTAGAAGTCATTCTCTTACGAGACATGCTCTACACGGCCAAAGGCTACATACATGTACCCAAGTGATGCTTATGTCATACACTTCGTGGTCTAAGGTATAACTCATTATCATAATAACACGGGAAAGCACGTTGAACATATAACACATAACATACAATTGTTCCTATATATTGAACTCACCGTGAAATAACTGGGGATTAATTTGGGCAGCACTTCGGCTCTAAATATGACTTTCTGCGATGGAACTGGGGATTTTAGTTGAAAACCGGCCTTACACGGGTAGAGTTTCGACTTGAAAATATAATTTTCTCGGGAACTTCGGGGCTTCGGGACTTGCTTCGGGTGTCGTGGATCATACCGGGGCTCCGGGGGGTTAAATGTGGGCTAAAGAACGTTTAGAGAGTGAGAGATATCAGAATTAGCAAACAAATCCCGAAGGCTTCGTTTTCTATTTATAGGGTGAAATTTTGAGATTCACGACGTGAACCATGCTTGTTCACGTCGTTAGGTTTGATCCCGGTCATCCCCTAGGCTTTCCGTGTGTCTTCTAGGCTCGAAACGCGTCGTTCACTGAGTTCACGTCGTGAACACAGTCAAATTCTCGAAGTTTGTGCTCCGAACTTCAAAAATCCATATCTTTCGCATACGAGCTCCGTTTTTGACGTTCTTTATATCCACGCGTAGGTGAGATTATGCTCTACATCTTTCATTTAGACTCTGTCGGCTAATTTTGAATTTATTTTTAATATTATATTAATATTATATTTTTAACGGGCCGAGACAGGAAAAGTCCGTTAAATTTTCATAACTTCTTCATCCGACGTCCGTTTTCGTCTGTCTTTTTACCGCTGTACTACTATTGACGAGACCTTAGATTCTCGTTTAGGTTGCGTCGGCTAAAAATCACTCGATCTTTATTCTGAGTTTTTAGCTGTCTACCGCTATTCCGAAACTTAGAAAAATCATAACTTCCTCATACGAAGTCAGATTTGGGCGTTCTTTTTATGAAAATTCTCGGTTTAACAAATACTACGACTTTCATTTAGATCACCAAGGCTAAAAAGTAGTTTATCAAAAACTCACTTTTTACGTCATTCGGCGCCGTGCCGGTTCTGTCGCGAAACTTCGATTGGTCATAACTTCTTCGTTATAACTCGAATTTCGATGAGGTTTTCGCCTAAATGTTTCTAACAGGATTCTCTACAACTTTCAATAATAAAATTTTACTTATTTCAAATTTTATATTTTCGTTAAATTTCAATATTATATTGGAATCTCATAAGACTTCCAATATTTTCCGATTGATTCTAAACATAGTTTTACTTCATTTCTAGTAAAAACCATCTGTTAGAACTCAATACTCAAATTTCATATAATATTTCATAATATTATTCACTTTTAAAATTACATAACACGATAACTGAACGTGTATGTTACAAATACCTCCTCCTTTTGAGGATTTCGTCCCCGAAATCACAACGATTTAGACAAATGAGGATATTTCGCTCTTACAATTTGAATCTTATCAGTGGTGTCTTGAATCATTTCAGGACCACCAAGGATCACTACAAGGAAAAAGGGTATCAAAGACTGATATAATCAGTCTTTGATGGTCAATAATTAGTCTCTGATGAGAATCAGGGACTGATTTTGCTAGTCCCCAGCTAGTCCCCGAGACCTAGTCTTAGATAATCGATTTTTTTTGTATCTGGTACTGAAAATTAGTCCCTAATTCATCAATGTATCAAAGACTGAAAATCAGTCGTAGATAATATCTCATTCAGTCTCTAATTTGTTTTATTCAAATCCCCAATTTAATATCATATCTGTCCCTGATACTATCTTTTAGAGACTGAATATTAGCCCTTTATAATATATTATTCAGTCTGTAATAGTTTCATTGAAATCTTTATTTTGTGTCCTATCAGACCCTTTTGATATCATTTGGGACTGAATATCAGTCTTCTAAACTACCTAGCTTAGTCTCTAATATTGTTTTTCAATGACTGAATATCAGTCTCAAATACAATTTTATTCAATCTCTAACCTGATATTTCAAGGACTGAATACCAGTCTCGGATACAATGTCATGAGTCTCTAATCAGATTTTTAGGGACTGGACATCAGTCTCAAATACAATGTCCTTTAGTCTGTAACATGATTTTTCAATGACTGAATATCAGTCTTAAATACAATTTTATTCAGTCACTAACCTAATATTTCAAGGACTGAATACCAGTCTCAGATACAATGTCAATCAGTCTCTAAACAGGTTTCTTAGGGACTACATATCAGTTTCGGATACAATGACATTCAGTCTCTAACTTGGTTTTTCAGTGACTGAATATTAGTCTAGGATACAATGTCATTTAGTCCCTAACATGGTTTTTTAGTGACTGTATATCAGTCTAAGATTCAATGCTATTCAGTCTCTAACATGAATTTTCAATAACTGAATATTAGTTTCTGATACAATGTCATTCAGTCCCTAACATGCTTTTTCAGTGACTGAATATCAGTCTAAAATGAAATATAATTTAGTCCCTAAACCTTTTTAGTGACAGGATATCAAACTCATATGCAATATCATTTTAGTATTAATAACTAGTTGTAAGTGCTAGAGTTATAGACTAAATGTACTGAAAATAGAAAATGTATTGTAATCTAGACATCATTTCCAAATTAAAACAATAAACAGAAAAAATCTAAGCAGTGTCTAAATAGTAAAACCATATCTGAAAAAAGTTCTAACTTTTAACTTAAGGTCATGACTATTACTCTTCATCAGATGTGTTTGTCATGTCATCATATGCACGAAATCCTTCTTTATCAGGCGGGCATAATATGTTTTGAGAATCTGGGAACTTCGAGATCATAAATTGAAGCATCTTTTCACATTTCTCCTCACTTTGTTTCACTTTTTCTTTGTTTTCTCGAATCTCTTCCTCGAGTGCAGTAACTTTATTTTTCAAAGCCATTTCATCCGTTGAGGCTGATTGAGACGGTTCCGCTGCTGATAAGATATGTAGATCTTTTTTCCTCATAATAGGTCCACTTAAAGCCTCCCATCCAGATAGTAATGTTTTATGTTTTGCACAAATGGTTTTAACGACTTTTTTCCTCTATTTCATATTCCATTTCTGGAGTAATGCTTACTCCCGCAGAAACTAATTTGGTACATTCATCCTCTTTCATTTGGAGAATATTTTCCTAAAACAACATAAAAACATATTATAATAACTTATATATAACACCAATATCAATAATTACAAACGGAAATTAATATTACTCGATAAATCATTCTTACATATTGAATGCGTGTCTCATCATTTAGCCATTCCTTTGTAGGATGAAAATGCAACTTATGATATAATTCGATTGGGGTGGGGGGCAATTGAGTCTCTTTGTTTTTCTGCAATAATAAAAATTATATAAGAACAATTATTTATAATTGGTGTTCAATGAATATGTTAATACAAATATAAACTAAATCGCTAGTTACCATGCTAAATTTGTGATTTGCTATTGATCGAGAACCTCCTCTACTTGAAATCACTAGTTTTTCTCGATTATTTTTCATTTGATCAGCATACTTCTACAAAATTTAAATTGAACATGGTTACTAACATATAAATAATAAATAATTACGTAAAAGATGTGTATATGTAAAGAGTGAAAAAGTTACCTGTGCTTTATCTGTCTCCCAATAATCACACAAATGAGACCAATCTTCTTTGTTACGACAATCTGGCTTCATTTTAGATCGTGCTATTTGTGGATCGGTCATTCCTCCATTTTTCTTCCAAAAATCTTTCAAAGTATTTCGTGTGCGTTTCCATTGCCTTCGCATTTGCTCATCTACACATTCCATCAAAACTATATTTGCGTGCGGTATTTCAAATTTTGCCTGCATTTAGTACATATTTTAACCTTTTAGGGATGAGATTTATAACCGGACCAGTTCGGAACTGGAACCGGATTTGCTTTATTATATGAAGCGAAACATTTTTAAAAAAACAAAAGAAAAACACAACATAGATATGTTGTCTTGTCGGACCTATAGATGATTCAGTATTTAACCAAAATATAACTTTGTGTAGTCTAAAATGAACTAAAAACAATAAATTACGTGTTGAAAAAGAATCAAGTCATACCGACTTCATATGACTGCCTTATGCATATTTTAAAAATGAGTGAATTAAAAAAGTGCTAAAAAAGAAATTTCAGTCCGGTTCTAGTATAACTTACACGTAATCTATCGATCATTTCTTCTTTATTTTCTTTCGGTACTTTCTCCCATGTATGGAATTCCATTGGACAAAACTTTCGCATCACAATTCCAACCTCCGTTGCAAAATATACTGCTGAATCCCCAACAAATTTCTTAGTATATGTATCTTTTCTCAATGTAATCCGTGCATCTGGTTGATTCTCCACAATCTTGTCCAAAATATGCGAAGCCTTTTTATTAATATTAGGGCCTCTCCTTCGTCGTTGATCTGCACAATATATATTGTTCTTAATTGGTAATGTTATAAATAAAATAATAAAATTCGTACTACTTACTTGGAGCATGAGAGTGCTCAGTTTGGGATTCCATGTTATCAGTCGTGTTAGAGACATTTCCTTCACCAACTAACGGTATTGAAGATCGTTGAGTATCTTCGGTGGAACCACTTTGTCTTGTTGCTATTTTCACATTAATTAACACAAGTACAATTGAAGTAATTTACTATTATGTAGGATATAATTTATGTAATTTATATACTATTACAAAAAGACTGGTTTTTAATTTACTATTACACAATGGCCCATTACTATAATCTAATATAAGACAAGTACCAATATTTATATAATTTACTATTACTCAAAATATTAAACACAAATGTAGTTACCTGTATCACCTGAGTTTGGAAAAGAATCCATATTTTGAGAAGGAGGACGTTCAGTTGTTTTAGAAGTTGTTCTAGAGACACTTTCTTCTTGGGCAGGCTGAAATGAAGTTGATCGAGTATTTTCTCTCGCAACAGTTGCTCCTACAGAGATTCAATCATTAGTTATGACCGATTATGTCTGTTACGAGAGTAAAAAAATACAAACCTTGCACTAAAAATTACAAAACAACCCCTTCATTAACAATTACCAAACAACTCTTACACTCATTAACAAACATCCCCTGAACTCATTACCAAACAGCCCCGTACACTAACATTTACCAAACAGCCCCATACACTAACATTTACCAAACAGCCCCTACACTCATTATAACCAGTTAACTTTATGTCACCAAATTCAACTTTAACAGATTATGGATGTATCAATTAAATGTAATCAGAAATTAACATGTAAGGTTATACCTATTGATGCAACAGATGTCATAACACGTTTACGTGTACGAAGCATGCACAACTTTGGATCCAATTCACTTCCACTTTCTTCACCAGTTGACACAACCGAAATTTGTCGAGGTTCTTTCCTTACACGCTTCGTACCTCCGAGATTAGCAATCGTCATCAACACAAGAAATATCCACATTTTACCTGCAAAAATTTGGTTTTTACACAAGTTAGTCATGAGTAAAATTATTCATATTCATTGTCAAAAAAGTTCTAAATAATTAACAAATTACAAAACACACCAACAACATACAAAAAGAATACATTTATTCATATTCGTTGTCAAAAAGTGTTAAATACTAAATTAAAGACACCAACAAAGAAACACAAAAAATACACTTATTCATATTCATCGTCCGACTCATCATGTACTGCCAAATTTGTTTCATTGCTATCATCTAAATCTTCGTTTGATTCATCGGGTAATTCCTCAATAACTTCATTGGGGATAGTATCATAATCGATAAAATCATCTAAATCAACTTCAAAACTTTCATCATCAACGACTTCCACAAACTCTTCTTCACCGTCTTCTCGATGAAACTCGAAATTTTCACAATCAGATGCTTCAAATGGGGTTGTGTGTGACGGTGTTCCTACATGTTCAAATAAATCTTGTGTATCCTCATTCTCTGGTATGTCCCATAAATGCCTATGTGTGCTCCTTTCTATGATTTTCCAGCTCGAGCACGTGTGGGATCATTTATATAAAACACTTGTTTGCTTGATTTGCCAAGACAAACGGATCTTCCTTATAAGCTTGTTTGGTTGTATCTACAGAGATGAAATGAGGCTCAAACATCACGTGCTTCTTTCTACGATCGGTATCGAACCAAATGCATTTAAATAAAATAACTCGATATCCTTTTATGAATGAAAATTCAAGGACTTCATCAACATATCCATAATAATCCTCTTCAACGCCATCGTGAATTCCTAGGGCTGTAACTCCACAATTCTGAGTCTTCCTATGGTCATCTCGTGACTTAACAAGAAATTTAACTCCATTTACTATGTATCCACCATGTGTTGTAACTCGATCATCTGGGCCACGCGATAATGCATACAACTCTTCGTCAATTGCGGATGAATTTTGCTCATACATTTTCCTCATCTGTTCACCATTTTGAGAAAAGTATGAGTTGGTTGAATGCTTCTACATGATAAAACGATATAATTTAATGTTATAGTAACATTACCCGTAAAGAAAACCAACTTGGAAATAAAGATTGTTGTAATTCGCTAAAATTTAACGATCTTGGATGTTCTCTTTTCAGGTGTTGTAAGTGTTCCCTGTCAGGTGAAAATAAGCCTTAAATACCTTGAGATAATAAAAAACTGAATTCACTATGAAAGGTAAAATATACTAACTCAATGTATGGTTCTGCTTCTGCACAATTACTTAAGATAAACCACTGTGCTTTCTTCAGTAGAGTACTCGAAAGCCTAACAGTTTGTCGCTTCCCAATGCCTCGGCCATTCAATTTAAAAATATCCAATTTATAGTCTCGAACATCATTAACTCTTTCATCATCATTTCTACCACGCTTCTCTAGTTTTGAATCAACACCTTGTAAATAGTGTGAGCAGAATGTTAGAGCTTCTTCTACAACATAACCTTCGGCAATTGAACCTTCAGGTCTTGCTTTGTTTCTAACATATTTCTTTAAATGGCCAAGATATCTTTCAACCGGATACATCCACCTTGATTGTACGGGTCCTCCTAAAATAGCCTCTTGAGGTAGATGAACGCATAAGTGCATCATAACTGTAAAAAATGAGGGAGGAAATATGCGTTCCAGCTTGCAAAGAATCTTAATTATCTCTGTTTGCAGCATTTCTAACTCTCCCACATGTAATGTGACTGAAGTTATAATCTTGAAAAACCGAGAAAACTCTACCAACGTATCACGTATTGGCTTATTCAAAAGCCCACGAATAGCGATAGGGAGTACACGTTGCATAAGACATGACATTCATGAGATTTAAGTCCATATATCTTACATTGCTAAAGAATAACATTTTTAGCCAGGTTTGAGGCGTATCCATCTGGAAAACGAACAGACTTAATTGTACTGCAAAATTGGTGTCTCTCTTTTCGATTTAAAACATATGGAGCTGGCGGTTTAATCCAACGATCATTTTTCTTCACTAAGTGAAGATGCTTGCGTATTTTCATATCCTGCAAATCACGGCGAGCATTATCAGTGTCTTTTGTCTTCTTTTCTATGTTTAATAAAGTTCCCAAAATGTTCTCAAAAACATTTTTTTCAACATGCATGACATCAATGTTATGACGCATTAACAACTTGCACCAGTATGGTAGTTCAAAGAATATGCTTTTTTTTGTCCAATTTAACTCTCTTATGCCCCTTTTACGTTTTTGGCCGGTGTAAGACTGGTTTTTTCCATGTGGACATTGAGGGACGTGTTCTAGTTGATGTAAGCAATCTTCTCCGCTGATATGTTTAGGTGCAAGCCTGTCCTCTTTTTTCCCATTAACATCTCGTGCATTCCTCCAAGGATGATCGTGGGGAAGAAATCGCCTATGACCTACATATCCTATTTTATTTCGTAAACGAATACTTGGTGCATCTTCGTTGCATATTGGGCATGCCATGTACCCACTCGTGCTCCATCCAGACAGGTAACCATATGCAGGAAAATCGTTTATCGTCCAAATAACTGTTGCACGCATGTTGAATGTACATCGAGATTCAGAATCATATGTTTCGACACCATTCTCCCACAGAACTTTCAACTCATCTACCAATGGACGTAAATATACATCAATGTCCTTTCCAGGTGAATCTTTGCCTGGAATCAACAAAGACATCATAAATGAGGCATCATTCATAGACTTCCACGGAGGCATATTGTACGGTATAAGCACAACAGGCCACATACTATATGAAGTATTCATCGTCCCAAAAGGGTTGAAACCATCACTTGCAAGCCCTAGGCGTACATTTCTAGGTTCGTTTGCAAAATCTGGATAGATTCTATCGAAGTGCTTCCATGCTTTTCCATCTGTTGGATGCCTAAGAACTCCTTCTTCTTTGGATTTGTTGTGAGCGTGCCAATGCATGTCCTTTGCAGTATACCTACATGCATATAACCACTTCAGTCTACTTGTGACGGGAAAGTAACGCAAGACTTTTGCTGGTATCTTCTTTTGATTCGTTTGATCGTCTACCCAACGACTACCGCCACAAACTAGACATGATTGTAATTATGAATTTTCCTTCCAAAACAACACACAGTCGTGCCTGCAAGCATGGATTGATTCGTATCCAAGTCCAAGAGTACGCAAATACTTTTTTGCCTCGTAGTGGGTTTAGGGATTATTGTGTCCTTGAATGCCTCACTCAATAACTTCAGTATCATATCCATGGACACATTTGTCATTTTACAGGTTACTTTCACATGCATCAATCGTAATATAAAGCCCAGTACCGAGAAAGTATCACATCCCGGAAATAAGGGTTTCTCCATATCAGCAAATAACTTGTCCACATTGGGATTGCTAGATCGATTAGAAGACTCGAACTCATTGTTTCCATCTCCTCCTTCGGTTTCATATCCAACATTAAACGCATCACCAAGTAAATCGTGGACCCGTCATTTGATTCATTGTCAGTTTCGTCAAGGTCGTCGTTTGTTTCATGTTCCCAACTACTTTCCCCATGAAATATCCATTTTACATACGATTGTTGAAAGCCATGATGTATTATGTGATCACCAACAAGATCAGGTAACTGCTTTATTACATTCAGACAGTTATTGCACGGACAATGTGTAAGACCTTCGCTATCAACATATCCCTTAGCCATCTCCGCAAAATCGATTGCTCCTTTCATGAACTTCGGATCGACCTTATTCTTGATTTAAATCCAACTCTTGTCCATCTTATCTTAATGTTAATTTGTTGAACTAAAAATAACCAAAAAGGAGATACAGAAGAAGAAAGAGACAAAAACAAACATTAATGTGGGAAATTCTACAGAAAAGTCTAAATTACTTACGACCCTTAATCATAAAAATTGGATATTTGGTGCTCTATAAAATGGATATATGGTGTTTGATTAAATGCATATGATAAGTACATGTTTGAGAATCGAGCCCATAGAGTGAGTAATGCTTTTTATCTTTTTTTATTTTTTTTAGCTGAAGCTTATATTATCAGACCAAAAACTAATGGTATACTTATGTTTAAATACTGTTAAATACTGGAATTTTCTTTTCTGGCTTCACCACAGCTAACAAATTTTATGGCTTCAATGTTTTTTAATTTCAAGGCCGCTTGTAAAGACATGAGCAATTAACTTTACAGTGTTTTAATAATTCATAATTATGGGACAGTTTTAATCTTAGGGGTATTTTGGGGAAAAAAATTAAAGTTTTTGTATCAGATTAGGCGTCTTTCATGTCTAGTATAAAAATAAGAGTGATTACTTTATTGTTTTCAATCTAGTATTACGTTTATTTCAGAAGTAATTACTTAGCCAAGAACTTTTTTAAACCTCTCTTGTCCCCTGTTATTTTTCCCCTGTTCCTGGTTATATTTTTTATCACCTGTTATTGTTATTTTTATTGGTGCACAAGGTGAAAACTGAATGCAACCCTGCTACTATTATATTTTTAAACAAGGTGAAAACTGAATGCAACCCTGCTACTATTCATCATGACAATCTCTTTTGTTCAAAAAATGGACATTTATGCCCCTGATATATGTAAGTGCCCATATTTCAATACCATGTTCCATTCTTTGTAGTTTTACAGTATTTTCCTACTTTCAGTTGGAGCTGCTTGTATGTGATTTATGTGTTTATATATGATGGCTTATATGTGTTTATATATGTGATTTTGAAATTGAAAGTTGAAACAGATGGAATGAATGTTCTGGTGGATCATGACAGTTATGCCCTTGATCTATAGAAGTGCCCATATTTCAATACCATGCTCAATTCTTTGTAGATTTACAGTATTTTCCTACTTTCAGTTGGTTTTGCTAGTATGTGATTTTTGTGTTTACATATTATGGCTTATATGTGTTTATATTTGATGTATTATACGTATATTTTTCTATTTTTCTACTCTATAAATGTATTATATGATTATATATATTTGATGGCGTAT